AACAAAAACTTAATGATGAAAGTATTGACGAAGAAAAAGAAGTAAAAGATGATAAAAAAATCAGTTCATTTAAAGAAAATAAGGTTTCAAAGCAAAGTAAAAAGTACGGTAAAATTTTACTTGAAGAAGAAGAGGGTGAGGGTCTTACCCCTGAAGAAGAAAAGAAAGAAAAGTACAAAGAAACAAAGACTGATGCTTTATTAGAAAAAAAATCAAAAAAAGGAAAGAAAGATATTTTCTATGAAAATTAAATTATATTTCAATTAATTTAACATTACTAATATCTCTTATTTTAAATAAAATATAAAATTAAATAGAATAATTAATAGAATAATTAACTATTATAAAAATGAGATAAACGACATCGAATAAAACCTTTGAAAAATATACTTAAAACTTAAAAACAAATATGATACTCTATTTTTTAGCATGCATCTTTGGATGTTCTGCTGTTGATGTTAATGGAATGCTTGAATTAGATATTATATCAAGTACTGGTTTTAAAAATAAAGCACTATTACAATCTCAATTAGTGAAAACTAAACAAGCTGGATTTACTGGTGTTATGGGAGACGTTTGGTGGGGATTAGTGGAAACGTCTCCAAAAAATTATAACTTTAAATACTATCTCGAATTAGTGGAAATGATTAAGAACGTTGGTTTAAAGTACCAACCTGTTATGTCATTCCATAAATGTGGAGGTAATGTAGGAGATACTTGTAACATCCCAATTCCTAAATGGGCTATTGACTCTGTAAATAAACTTGATGGTTTCTTTAAAGATTCCAATGGAAATGTAAATGATGAGTATATTAATTTTGCTTTAGATAATGTTATTGTCGAAGGTGGAAGAACACCAGTTGATTTTTATTATGACTTTATGAACGCTTTTAATGTTGCATTTAAATCTTATATTTCTGATGGTGTTATTGATGAAATACAAATTGGAGTTGGACCATCAGGAGAAATTAGATATCCATCATATTGTGCTACTAATGGATGGCAATATCCTGGTATTGGAGAGTTTCAAGTAAACGACTCGAACTCTCTTAATTTGTTGCAACGTGCTGCTGAAGCTAAGTCCCATAGTGAATGGGCACATATACCAAATGATGCTGGTGTTTATAACAGTAAGCCAAGTGACACTGATTTCTTTACTGATGGTAAACCAAACAATTATGCAAGTGATTATGGTAAATTTTTCCTTGAATTTTATACACAGCTTATGCTCAATCACACTGACCGTGTAGTAATTGCTGCCAGAAAAGCTTTTGGAACTTCGCTTCCTCTTGCAGCTAAAGTTTCTGGAATTCATTGGTGGTATGGTACTTCTTCTCGTGCTGCTGAAGCAACTGCTGGTTATTATCAAGTCAACGGCTATTCTACTTATTCTAAAATTAATGATATTTTAGGAAAACACGGAGCCCGA